AATATTTTCTTGGGATAGAAGTATCTCGATCTAATAAAGGAATCTTTTTATCTCAAAAAAAATATGCCTTAGATCTATTACAAGAGACTGGCATGACAGCATGTCAACCAGCTAAGACACCAGTGGAAGAAGGACTGAAGTTATGTGTTGAGTCCAACCAAGTACCTGCTAATAAAGGAAGAAACCAAAGACTTGTAGGGAGATTGATGTACTTAGCACACACAAGACCGGATCTGGCTTATGCATTGAGCATTGTTAACCAGTTTATGCATGATCCTGGAGAGCAACATTTGAATGCAGTTATGCGCATTTTGAGGTATCTGAAATCTGCTCCTAGAAAAGGAATTTTGTTCACTAAAAATGTTGGTTATCAAAACATAGATGCATATACTGATGCTGACTGGGCTGGAGCTATAGATGATAGGCGATCTACTTCTGGTTACTTCACTTTTGTATGAGGTAATATTGTTACATGGAGAAGCAAGAAACAAAATGTTGTTGCTCGCTCGAGTGCAGAAGCTGAATTCAGAGGTATGGCACTTGGACTTTGTGAAACTTTGTGGTTAAGACTTCTTTTGCGGGATTTGGGTTATCTGCCTGGGCAACCGATTCAATTATATTGTGACAATAAAGCAGCATGTGATATTGCCTATAATCCAGTTCAACATGATGGTACGAAGCATGTCGAAATAGACAGATTCTTCATTAAAGAGAAGTTAGATGGAAAAGTTGTGGAGTTGCCTAAGATTCAATCTGAGGATCAACTAGCCGACATTCTCACCAAAACAGTCTCAAATCAAGTGTTTCCAAAATTTGTAGACAAGTTGGGCATGTGTGACATCTATGCACCAATTTGAGGGGGAGTGTTGAGATTTTACCTATTGTACAACTGTAGGATTGAATTATTTTCTCCTTGATTTAGGGCTAATTGGTAGGTAATTAGTTTCCCGATTATTGTTCTTTCCAAAGCAGTCTCAAATCAAGTGTTTTCAAAAATTTTAAACAAGTTGGGCATGTGTGACATCTATGCACCAACTTGAAGGGGAGTGTTGAGATTTTACCTATTGTACAGCTGTAGGATTGAATTATTTTCTCCTTAATTTAGGGCTAACTGGTAGGTAATTAGTTTCCCGATTATTGTATAATTAGTTACCTATTTTAGCTAATCCTATTCTATAAATTGGATGTAATACTCATCAATGAATCAATGAATTATTGAATAGAGTTTTTAATTCTCATATTCTTTCTCTGAATTTCAAGACAATGGCCACCAACGTAACAACATTGACTCTCTCCGAAGTGATGAAGTCATCGAATCTAGGTTGTGGCACTTCGTCTTCGTCCCCAAACGAACCGCTCGTGATGGACTGAACTTCCTCCGAAGAAGCCCCAACTCTAATCAATTGAAAGAGCGAAATTCATGCACACCGTTTGAATCAAATTCTCAAATTCAAGCTCGAAAGTGAATGACAACGAATTGGTTGGTCATCAGAGAGTGAGAAATTCATGATGTGAAATTGCGAAATAATTGCTAGAGATTGTGGAATGATCTTTTATAGAGATCGATCGGCGAGTAGTTTGAGAAAGAAGGTCGAAGAGATTGACTGAGTGAGCTGGTATTCTGGAGCGTCCAGAGTTGGCGAGGAGAGAGAGGGCATCCGTCCGGCGATGGCGAGGAATGCACAATTGGGAATTATAAAGTAGTGAGTGAATTGTGACAAAATTCATACTATCACCACTAAATAATTTTGTGATGAAAATTAATTGTGTCACTATTAAATAATTTTGTGACCGAAATTAATTGTCACTATTTTTATTTTTTGTGACATTTTTTTGTTCTGTAAAAAATATCTCTTTTTGTGAATTTTTTATTTTATTTTATCACAAATACCTTCATTTTGTATTAATTTTTTTTTGGTCACAAATATTTCTTTTTTTTTTTTTTTTTTTTCCTTCGGTCATAAATATCCCTTTTTGTGACATTTTTTTTATTCTGTCACAAATACTTTCATTTTGTAACAATTTTTTTCTTCCATCACAAATATTTCTTCTTTTTTTTTTTCTCTCTTATCATATATATATATATATATATATATATATATTTTTTTTTTTTTAATTTTCAGTTGTAACAAAGTTAACAAAAAAAAAAATTTGTCACAAATATTGATATTTCTTGTAGTGATTTATGCAAAAGCTTTATATTTGTATGTGAGTTCAACTCTCAAGTACTATGGAGTATAATTTATTTTTTTTAATATTCAATTATTAAAATTGTATGCTTTAAATCCATTTTATTTGAACGTAGCAAAGAAGAAAACTTACAGAAGATACAAAGTGTCCTTTCAACATGCCTGGACTAACCAAGCTTATTTGCTTTAAAAAATTTTATAAATAGAAGAAGAAAAAAACCATGAAGAAGAAGAAGAATGCTCTCCAACCCCCTCCCCCTCACCACCATAGCTCCACACTCAACCCACCACATCACCAACAGTCTACAAACTACCAGAAACCTCCTTCTGTGTTTAACCCCATACAGAACCATCTCAAACCACCATTCACATCAACACATCCTCAACCAGTCAAGCTTTCAAAATTTTTTTTTGCCTCTCCCATCACAGCTAAAACACCTCACCAAAAATCCACTGCCAACCACCTTAAACCTCCATTTCCATCTCTCCATGTAAATCAACAAGCATCTATCCCAAACCACTTACAATCACCAGTAACCAAGCAAATTCCTCACCCAAAACCAATTAACATACAACAACAAAAAGCTATCCCCAAGCAAAAGACTCCAACACCAAAAAACACCTTAAAGAAGCCACAGAACATAGCACTACTCACACATATCTACCACTATTCCTTCTTCACTCTCTGGCCAACCCCATGTCCACTTCCCTCATTCTACAGTCAATCCCATAAGGATACTTACACATGACTCACCTAACAACAAAACCCCACTACCATCTGTCATTCCTTATAAGCAAACCAGCCTACACCCATCTGTTATTCCACAAAAACAAGCCACTCCTACTTCTACAGCGAAGTCTCACCTACCAAGGAACTTTAATCCCCTTTTATACAGCTCCCCAGCCCATCAAATTGATAGGCTTCAGGACCAACTTGAATGGAAGGATGAAAACCTTGGGAGGGCTCTGGAAATGTACAACAACCTCAATGATTATCTCAGAGCTAAGAGCTGAGCTTGCTGAATGCAAACTACATATTCAACAGCAACAACAAGCTCCTCTAGCAACCACCATGGTCACCACCTCCTCTTCCTCCTCCGGCAAAGGAAACCAAACCACCATTAGAGGTCCAGGTCAGAATTCAAATTCAAATTCTAACTTAAATTTTGCATCAACTGCTATCGTGACATCACCTCTGCATACTCCACAACCAACCAACTTACACACTGCCAAAATAGGAAAAAACTCAAATCACTTTCAACCAAACTCGATCCCACATATAGAACTATAACCCATTTCAGGTTTCCAACCAAATTCACCTAATACGCCACCTGCCAACCCACTACCTTTGTCAGCTTTAGCCCAGCACATCAATGACCCTCCAGCTATTACCACTGGTCTATTACCAATACCGACAGTTGACCTACCTAGGATTAACACAAAACCCACTAGACAAAAACCACTTTCTCCACATTTTGCCCATTATACAACTACCATACCAACTACTACACTTCCACCACCACCACCATTACCACAACACACAACTGGCGCAGCAAACCCATTATTAAACCTCCAAAGGAAGTTGCTCTTGAGGGTAGGAAGTTTTGGGAGGCAAATCACCTCATTCGACTATCAACTCACAAAAAGTTTCCCTTCAAAGTAGTCCAATCCTCAACAGCCAAAATCTGGAACTCTTATGGTCTCACTGATACGATCATTGGTGAAAATGGCTCATATATCTTCAAGTTTCATACCACACATGAGGCTGAGAATGTCTTATCCAATGGCCCATGGTCCATTGCTGGCCATCTTTTCTCCCTGAAAAAATGGAACACACAATCCCTATCTCAACCAAGCAACAGTTCAATTATCCCAACATGGGTTAAATTCTTCAATGTTCCTTTCAATTACTGGACTGCCACAGGCCTCAGCCATATTGCAAGCTCAGTGGGGATTCCCCTAAATGTAGATAAAGCCACTGAAAGAAGAACCAAACTAAAGTTTGCCAGAATCTGTGTTGAAATTGACCTCACACAACCCCTCCTTAATGAGGTCCATCTTATGGTAGATGATGATAGCATGGAGAGAATCACCATTGAATACCAGTGGCTTCCCAAAATCTGTAGCAAATGCAATAAGCTCAACCACACTGAATTCTCTTGCCCCATGAATGTCACTAATCATACTTCTTTGAAGGACAATAGTCCAGCAGCAAACTGTCAGTCCAATTATTGGATTACCATTCAAAAGAAAAGAAGACAGATCACTGGAGGTGAAGCCTCTCCCAAGAAGACCACTGATAAAGAAACCACCAACCACTTCTCCCCCCTTCTTAACTGCACCCATGAATCCACCTCACCACCTTCTCATGTCTCCCCATCATTTCCATTTTCTCCACCACACCATACCACCTCCTCAAAATCTTATGCTAACAGGTCCTCTCCAAAGTCTCATATCCCATCAGGTTCTAACCTCCCACAGGAACTGTGAGGAGGTCAACCCCTCCCCTCTATGTTGCAAGAGACTATGTTATTCAAACCAAAACAGTCCTAACCCAAACCAACTCTCCTCATCCACAAACCAATCCACACAACCCTCCCCACCAGTAAATAATCCATTGCACATTAGCTCAGTCCCAAAAGAGTGTCCTGCTTATCCCCATTCTCCCTTCACCTCTCCTAGTAAGAAATGTACAGTCAGAAGTATGAAGAAGTTAGCCAGAAGATATCAAAGCTGCAGCCCAAGCCTGATACCCCATGATCCTCCCAAGGATCTCAGGTATCCCAGAAACTCTCCATCATTCCTCTGTAAATGATCTCCATCCTAACATGGAACATAAGAGGGCTTAATATACCCTTTAAACAGTCTGAAATCAGGAATCTGATTTCTGATAAAAGATTAGATATTGTCTCAATCATTGAGACTAAGATCTCCCCCACTAATATTACAGTTGTCGATAGTAGAATTGCAGCTCACTGGCCATTGATCCATAATTATTCCTTCACCCAGCTTTGTAGAATCTGGGTTATGTGGAATCCAAACGCCATTGATCCCAATGTCATTACCACTACTAGGCAGTCCATACATTGTTATATCACTATCATTGGGCAGCATATCAACTTCTATACCTCATTTGTCTATGCTTCTAATTCTACTATGGAAAGACTCTCCCTTTGGGATGATATCATAAGCCACTCCACACTTGTTTTCAATAACCTTTGGATTTTGATGGTAGATTTTAACATCATCTCTAATACTGGTGAGAAAAATGGTGGTTCAACTAGAGGATGTCCAGCAATCAATGATGTATGTGAATGTCTCCAACAAGCTAAGCTTGAGGATCTCAAATTCACTGGGATTCTATTCACATGGAACAATAGGAGCTTGGGTAATGCTTGTATTGCGAAAAAACTTGATAGAGCGCTCATCAATTATCACTGGAATGCTACACTTCCTAGTTCTGAATACACCTTCCTTCCCCCTGGAGTGTCTGACCAAAGCCCTATCTTGGTCACAATCAATTCTAACTCTCCTAAAAAGTGTTTACCTTTCAGGTTTTTCAATGCATGGTGTACTCATCCTCAATTTCTTCCCTCTGTCCAATGTGCCTTGAGCTATTACATTGCAGGTACTGCTATGTTTCAAGTGGTTCAGAGGCTAAAAAAACTTAAGCACATCCTCAAGTCTAAATGTAGAAATGATTTCTCTGAAGTGGCTTCAAAGATACAGGCAGTGAAATGGGAACTTGACAAATGCCAACTTGACCTTGATCACAATCCCAGTGACATTCAACTCAGATTACTGGACCTCTTTCTCACGAAGGAGTATATGAGGCTTGCAGGAATACAGGAAATCATGCTTAGGCAGAAAATCCAGAATGGTTTGGCTCAAACTTGGTGAATGTAACTCATCCTACTTCCACAAATCTATTGTTTCTAGAGCCAACTGGAAAAAGATTCTCAGCTTATCCAATGCTGATGGTGTTCAAATAAATGAAACAGAGGTTATTAAAGAGGAGATTTTATCATATTTTCAGGCTTTATTTGGCACAACTTCACCTATCACTCATTCCCAGGCTGACCTCTCAATATTTATCACCAAGGCTATCCCTATCCACTTTCATTGTATTTTGGACTCAATCCCATCATACCATGAAATTCAAAGCTGCATGATGTCACTTAATAAGGACAAAGCCCCTGGACCAGATGGCTACAATGCTATGTTTTTCCATAAAGCATGGCCCATTGTAGGTAGCTCAACAATCAAAGCTATTTCTGAGTTCTTCAGAAATGGAAAACTCCTAAGTGAAGCCAATTACACCTATATCTCCCTTGTCCCAAAATGCCAAAACCCTTCATCCCTCAATGATTATAGACCCATTTCCTGTTGTAATACCATTTACAAGTGTATTGCAAAGCTCCTTGCAAACAAATTACAACTTGTTCTTCCACACATCATTGATCAAACCCAAACAACTTTTGTCAAAGGCAGGAAAATCACTGATTCAGTTTTGCTCACCCATGAATTACTCAGAGGTTACCACAGGGATTACCCTCTTCCAAGGTGTGCCATCAAGATTGATCTTAGAAAGGCCTTTGATTCAGTCACTTGGGACTCACCATTAACTGTCTCTCCCTCCTCAAGTTCCCAAGTAAATTTATCAAGCTCATTCATACCTGTATCTCTTCCCCTTCTTTCACAGTGGCCATTAAGGGTGAGTTCCATGGTTTTTTCGAAGGCAAGAAAGGCCTCAGGCAAGGTGATCCTATATCTCCCTTCTTATTTGTCATAATCATGGATGCTTTTACCTCCATTGTGTAAACCTTTGTCTCTAGAGCCCCTAGGTTCAAGTACCATTGGAGATGTAAAAACCTAGGTATTACACACCTTTCCTTTACAGATGACCTTTTTCTCTTTTGTCATGGTGATTTAACCTCAGTTTCCATTCTTAAATCTGTAATGGATTACTTTTGTACTATGTCTGGTCTATCTATCAACTTGAACAAGAGCACAGTTTTCTTATCTGGAGTGGATCCTTCCACTGAATCTACAATCACAGATTTGCTAGGAATAAGCTCTGGGTCCCTCCTCATTAGACACTTAGGAGTTCCTTTGATCTCCAAGTGCCTTAGATCCTCAAACTGTAGACCTCTCATTGAAAGAATTACCCATAGAATTACCCGCTGGACCTCTAGATCCTTATCCTATGCAGGAAGACTACAGCTCATTAAGTCTGTCTTGGTCTCCACCAAAGTGTATTGGTCAAGTATTTTCATTTTGCCTAAAGGGGTTATTGATGAACTTAACAGAATTTTCATGTCCTTCTTATGGTCTAGAATAGAAATGAAATCAACAGGTGCAAAGATTGCTTGGATGTCAATATCCAGGCCCAAGGAGGAATGAGGGTTGAATATCCCTAATTTGGTCTCCTCAAATAATGCAGCTATCACTAGATACATGTGGAACTTATTGACAGATAATAGTGACAGAATATGGATTAAATGGTGCAAGGTTTACCTCATCAAAGGCAGGAACTTATGGTCTTTGGACATCCCTCATTCTTGTTCATGGAGTTGGAGGAAGCTCCTACAGCTGCGACATCCTACTAGGTTCATTATCAAGCACCAGATTTGCAATGGCTCATCTACAAACCTTTGGTTTGATAACTGGCTTCCTGGGGGCCCCCTAAGCCTAAGATTTCCATCACAGTTACTCTTTGATGCAGGATATGACACTATAACTATAGTTAGCTGCTTCATATCTAACAATTCTTGGTCCTTTCCTCTGTCTTTGTCTTCAGTAATTTCGGAACTGCTTCACCTGCCAGCCCCATCCAGAATGGAGAATGATAGATTGCTATGGTCTATATCCCCTTCAGGCAAATTCAGTCTCAAACACATTTCAGCCTACTTCTCTCCTTCTTCCCCTTAGGTTCCATGGTACAACCTTGTTTGGTGCTCTCTTGCAATCCCAAGAATGAAATTTAATCTCTGGTTAACAGTGCAAGAACGGCTCCCATCTCTTGACAGAAGATCCATGGCTCACCATCACAACTCTTGCCCCCAATGCAAGGCTTGCCCTGAATCTCATGCACATTTATTCTTCTCTTGTTCTTTCACAGCCCCTATTTGGGGCTTCTTCAAGATAAAATGTTGCATCCACGCTGCTATTCTCCCCTGGATGGACTTAATTTCCCTCTTCAGCACTCAATGGTCCTCATTGACCCCTCTGAACCTGCTGCGAAAGTTATGTTTCTCTGCCTTGGTTTAACATATTTGGGAAGAAAGAAATGCCCGTATATTCCGAGGATCCAATTTATCCTAAAATGCAATTCTATCAAGGGTTTGTAACAGTGTTACTTCCATACTCAGTTTAGGGATTCTTCGAAACTCTGCGGTTACTCAACGTATTCTCCATGATTGGGATCTTCCTTCGTCCTGTTGTCGCCCTCCGTCGAGGCCGCCGGATTAAGCTCCAAGCCTAGTGCTTGTTTGCCGTTGCTGGCTACGCTACCGGATTGTTTGCAGAATTGACTGTTATCACTGTCATTTTTGGTTGAATTAAGGTTTGGGCATGGGCCTTGGATTATTGATTGGGTTTGGCTATTGTATTCCTTGCTCGGGTAGTTGTTTTGCTTTGTTCCCCCTTCTGTTGTGGGCTGGGTTTGGCCTAAGGCCTTTCTATGTTTGTACAATTCTTTTATTTTATAATATAGCTTAACCTTTCGAGAGAGGAAAAAAAAAAAAAAAAAAAATGAAAAAGAAAAAGAAAAAGACATTGAGTTTGCACACACTAAATGGTTTATGTCATGAAAAAACATTTTTTTCAAAAGAAAATATATATATAATTATTTGCACATACAACAAAATGGTGTATGAAAATGTTTCAATTTTAATCAAATTTTTATTTTAGCAGTGATTCTCGACCTACGTGATGCAATTCGTTAATTCGGGAGTGACATAAGATAGGTGTTTTTCTAATGTCATTTGCAGGGATAGCTTTTGGGCTTTGCTTTTGTAAGTAGATTACCGTTGGGCTTTTGGGTACATAACTATTGATACAGCTTTGTATGGTTGTTAGCAGATAGCCCATCAGGCCTTTTTTTGGGTGGCTTTTGGGCTTGTCTTTGGGGCTATTTGGGCCTAGGTCTAGTTATAAGTCTTTTTATTTCAACATATACAAATTTACTTATCCAAAAATCACATATATCAAAGAGAATATATATATATATATATATATAGTGGGAAAATTATACAAGAGAGATCAACTAATAAAAACTCTAAATTTAATTGGCTTGGCAAAAGATGAGGAACACAAATTGCATTGTTTACAATCGCATCACTAGTCTTTCAAGTCTAAAGTTGCAGATGTTAGGAAATAAGATAAAATTAAATAAATGAAGGTGAAAAAAAAAGTCCAAATGTATATATAAATTAATAAAATTATGGTGTAAAATATTGGCTGAGAGCAATAGAGAGAATGATGTACAAAATACTGTGAGAAAAAAGATGAAAAAAAAAAAAATACTCCTTTTTTTTTATATACCTGCCGAGTTTAGTGTTTGCATTTCATGAGATTGTTTTGGCATAGTTAATTTCCAAAATAAGTTTTTGGATATCCACGTAATACATGCATTTAATTTAATAGGTACGAGAAGTGAATTATGCTTGAAATTTGAGCAAACTCGAAGGTGGGACACATTCGTTACATTAATTAATTACCTTTAATCAATTGATGATCATGAACACCACTAATTTTATAACAATAATAATATTGACTACTCTAAAGAACATAAACTCCATGTGAGAGGGAAGATCATGATATATATATATATATTTTTATAATTTTAATATTTATACAGTGCCGGCTATTTAATTATTTGAAAAAAATTAATTGTACTTGAGAAAAGATGATAGGCGATGGAAGCAACAGAATCTCCTAGTTATAGTAAATTACAAGGGAAAATTAAAGTGGAATCAGCATCAAAACTTGCCTTTCATATATAGTAAATTACATAAATGTTTGGACAGTAAGACAGAATCAATTAAATGTGTTTAGAATAAAGTACATACATACCTTTTTATTTATATAGTATATGCTTGGAGAGCAAGGCAGCATAAATTAAATGTGATTAGAATAAGTACGTATCTTTTATTGTCCGGCGGGAGAGGAAGAAGAAGAGGAAGGAATAATATATTTTATTATAAAAGGAAAGTTTTGGACCTCAACCGATTGTACTTAATTCCAGAGGTGGAAGAAAGTGATCGAAGAGTATATATACTTTCCCTAATGGAGGAGATCGTTATAGATAGGGAGCTGACATTCACATGAGATACACCCTAATTAATTAATTCATATCTAGCTAGCTATTTATGTTTGTTAATGTTTACCATTCATTTATATATATAATTTTGAAATTGATATAAAATATATATATATATATATATATGTAAATATTTTTTAATGCATGCAGGTCAAAGGTGAAGCATGCTGCCAAGTCAATCATGTAAGATACTATATATACACACACATATATACACACATTATTTGGATTGCATTTATGTAAGTAAGGAATGAGAATAAGAAGGCATGAATGTGGGAATGCATGTAAATATTTTTTTAATATCTAGTTTCTACTTGCATAAAAATAATGGATTATTTGTCAGCCATTCAGATCACTTGTCATTTTTTATTTCATTAACTAATTGTGGGAATGTATGAATGAATGCAGTTCAACCTTGGTATCAACATTTACGGAAACAGATCGGGCGAGTAGAATTGTACATATAAAACTATATAGGGCCTTGGTGAATGGTGACTTGATCACTGTGAAAGAAATCCTGGAGAAACATCCAGATGCAATATTCTCTAAGATTTCGACAAAAAACGAAACTCCGATTCATATTGCTGCTTCCTGTGGGCACGTGGAGTTGGTGGAGGAGCTTTTGAAGAGGATCCATGCTACTCGTTTAGAATTCCTCCAAGATGATGATGGTGACACTGCACTCCATGACTCCATGTTGCTGCCCGAGCTGAAAACCCGAGAATGGCAAAAGCATTAGTTAGTAGAGCAAAGAATGCTGAGTTTTGGCTGCCTATAAAGAATGAAGATGAACATATCCCACTCACCCTCGCTGCAATTTACGATAACAAACCGAGGTTGAAATCTCTACGTGGATATCATACTACTAAGGATGATGGTGGCCAGCATGGGTACTTTCGTGAACTCATAGGTTCTCTATTTCTAGGTATGCACATACATCATATATATTTTATCTTTAGCCCGACTCGAACATTAATTCAACTTTTTCAAAGAGGTAGGGGAGATTATATCATCTAAGTTAGAATCCATTAACTAGTTTTTTCTCTAATTAACTCGCTTATTTCGTTGACTTTCAGATGATGCTGTGAATAAGATTATCTGCATAGAATTTATTAAGAGCGAGAACTTTGGTATGCATTAATCCATATAAATATATACTTCAATGAAAACTTATGTAATTTCTTTAAGTATTTCTCTCTCTCTAATATATTGGCACAATATGCGTTCATAGATTTGGCACTGAAGCACTTGGAACGCGAATATGATTCTAACGTAATTAAGGAGTATTTGAAAGAGAACTTGAATAGAATGGCAATGATGTTTTCTGCTTTCTCAAGTGGAAATCAACTCGGATACTTTAAAAGCTTGATTTACATGTGTAAGTAAAATACCCATCTAATTAATTTATTTTTTTTATTTATTAAAAAAAAAAAAATTCAACGACACAAGACTCAGAAGGTAGCACCACCTTGTGAGTAGGGATGGCAACGGGGGCGGGTTTGGACGGGTGTATTCTCTCCCGTCCCTGCAACTGTTTAAAAACGCCGCCCCCGTTCCCTCCCAAAACTGCAAAAACGGGAAGACTTTTCAGTCCATCCCTGCAACCGTTTAACATTTTTACTCCGCGGATACCCATCCTACCCTGTTTAAAAGAAACGGGGGCGGGTTTGGACGGGTGTATTCTCTCCCGTCCCTGCAACCGTTTAAAAACGTCACCCCCGTTCCTTCCCAAAACTGCAAAAACGGGAAGACTTTTTAGTCCATCCTTGCAACCGTTTAACATTTTTACTCCACGGATACCCATCCCGCCCCGTTTAAAACCATAATTTATTTATTGTTGAAATAGATTTGCTCTTTTTTGTTTTTTTCACCATTACAATTTTCCTTCTAATCAAATTCGTTTATTACTTTAATATTGTTATATATGATACTTAATATATATACTAATGAAATAAGGGAACTTAAGTAATTTGTTTATCTAAACGGGGCGGAGCGACTTCTCCTCGCTCCCTCACCAAACCCGCACGAGTTTTTATTACATCAAACCACTCCCTGCCCAAATAAGCTAAAAGGTCCCCCAAAACTACCAAAAACGGGACGGGGCGGGGAGGGACGGGACAAATTGTCATCCCTACTTGTGAGAGTCCAAGCATTGGTAGTATCAATACTCTTTAATTATTATTATTATTATTGTTATTTTTTAACACGCTTATGCTGCACTGAATCTCTAGACTGCACTATTATCTCTTCTTAATTAATTAATTCCATGATTATTGTATAATTAACAATACTATAACTTTTTTTTGTTAGTTAAAAACAATACTATAACTTTGATCAAATATGTTTCTATTAAAATGATATAATCAATATTCCTTCTTTCCAGCCCCTGGGGGCTTGGCTCAGTTGGTAGGTACTTGGTATTGGCTTCCACTAGGCCAGTGTTTGATCCCTACCAACCCCATTATCACCCCCGACTTACCCGGTTTATCTTGGGGCGAGACTCTGCACCCCCAGGTTTGTAGCCTAGGGTGGGTCCTGAAGGGGCCCTGCCTAAGAGAGTTCCTGGTGCTAACTAAAAAAAAATATATATATATATATTCCTTCTTTCCGGTAGGTATTGATACGTCAAATAAAGTTCAGTCAACCGGTATGTATCTCTCATCTCTCTCCATATTGTCCATTAATATTTTTAACTTTCAGATGTGTTTCTATTAAAATGATATACATTATCATTCTTTTTTTTTGGTAGGTATGGATAACCAACAAGCAGGTAACTTTGATACTAGGAGCGATATTGAAAATCCACCTGCAGGATATCCTCATCCATCCATGGCCAGTTTCAGAAACACAGTTTATTCAAAAAGTATATCTTGATCTCTCTCCCATTTTGCATTTTCAATATTTTTCATTGAAATAATTTTATCGGGTACAATGTGACAGAACCAGTAATAAGATTCAAATAATATATTATTATTCTAAAAAAAAAAAATTCCACGACAAATGGCAATTTCTTGCCAATGAAAAAAAAATCAAATCTCAAAAAAAAAAAAAAATGTTATTGTACATACATCAGATAAAATAAAAACATATAAGAAGAGAAAACAAAAAATTTAGATATGTTGTGCTGATGAGATCATTGTTTTTATGATGTATAAGTTATAACAGCGATCAGGCTCTGATTTGTAAAAAGAGTAACGTCAAATGTTGCTAAAGCAATGGATACAAAAGCAGGGAGGGCTGTGAAAGGAATTTATTTTTTGGGACAGAGGGCTGTGATAGGATTAATGTCAAATGTTGGTAAAACAATAGGTATGAAAGCAGACTACTACTACTATTCTATTCATACGAGTATTTCTTAATTTCATTATAGTAGTACCTTTTTTATTTAAATTATAATTTTTTTTAATCTTTTTACTTGGAAAAGAATTGCATATTTTAATGGAAAAATATTGAATATGAAGATAAAAAACATCCGAGCCCGTAAACTACTCAGCATTATGTGTTGTCCAATATGGACTTTTGATCCTGAGTATGCTGAAATATACGTCGAGGCCATAAAAATAGCCATCAATATGGGAATGGTGAATTTGTTGAGGGAGTCCTGAGGTCGAATCCTGCTTTCCCATGGGACGATAAGAAAAGTGGAACCATATTTCACATTGCACTTGCTTCCCGTCAGGAGAAAATATGGAACCTCATTTATGGTTTAACTACTGAACAAAGAAACAAAGCCACTGGAACTCTGGTAGAATCGAACAGTATGTTACACATCGCAGCATACCCATTAGTAGATGTTCCAGATGAAGCTTTACAGAAAAAAGGAGAACAACAGTTGTCGAAAATATTCAGCAAGCCTCCAGGTGCAGCTGTGAAAGTGCAGAGAGAAATACAATGGTACAAGGTACGTACGTAATATAATTCTTAGATTTCTACATCTTGTATCGAAATATATACTAGTACTCCATCATTATTTATGATGTGATTGATTTGGGAACTTACATTTTACTAGCAAACCTATAAGTAACTAGTATATATGCAATGAGTCAATGAACCTGGTCATTGATGAATCATTTGGTTGTAGCATTATTAATCCACTTCCATCCATTTGGAGGGTAGTAAGAATTATCCCTCACATCAATGTTGCTCATGTCTTTAAGCCCTTATATTAATTCATATAAATAGTTGAATTAGACCAGGTTTTAATTTAGTTTTTTCCCCTTCAACTGTGATAGGAGGTGGAGAGGATGGTACCATCTTCATACAAAATTCTTGCTAACAAGAATGGAAACACTCTTCCAGAATTGTTCACAAAATCGCACGCTGAATTAGTTAAACAAGGAGAACAATGGACGAGAGATACGGCAACATCATGTACAATTGTAGCCACTCTCATTGTCACTGTTATGTTTGCTGCAGCCTTCACATTATCAGGTGGTGCTGTTGATAAACCCGACGAGTCAAGGAAGACCCCATTGCAATCAGGGGATCCCAAGTTCCTACACCATGACAACTTTATGGTTTTCATAATATCAGATGCATTTGCTCTATTCTCTTCGTTTACTGCAGTGTTAATGTTCCTTAGCATCCTCACTTCACGCTTTGAGGAAAAAGATTTCTTTAAGGCATTGCCCAAGAGATTGATAATTGGTTTGGCTACCCATTTCTTGTCTATTGCCACCATGATGGTAGCTTTTGGTGCCACGCTTGATATTGTGCTTGACAGATGGACAAGTTGGGCATATTTTCTGATCATGTCGCTTGTTTGTGTCCCAGCAACCTTATTTGCTTTATTGCATTTTCCCCTGTTTATTGACATGGTCTCATCTACCTATGGAGGTGGTATCTTTAAACGGAAAACAAAATGTTCCTTCTTCGACAATCCAAATGACTATGTTACTCAAGAATACCCTCCAAGTGGAGGGGGGACACTATAACTTTGAAGGGTATTAATTTTTTTACTCGTAAGGGTGAAAATGTTGTAAGTATAGCGAGGAACACTACAAGTAAGCTAAAGGTTCTTGCCAGCAGAGCAAAGTGCCTTTTGAAGCAGAAACGTTTTTACCAGTAGAGTTGCTATAATTTTGTTGTCAATAACTGGTTGATGATACAGTGTAAAGTACTTTTCATAATTGAATTTTTTTTTTAATTTGTTTGGTAATAATATTGTTTAAAATATTTCATTAGTATACCTCTGTTGCTAAATGTGCCCTTAATGTTCTCATATGTTTGGTAATAGTACCACTTTATCAATGAAGAGGAGAAAAAAAAAAAAAAAAAAAGGTGTGTCTTTGTAGATATTAGAAAGACAGAAAATTATTTAAGAAACAATTAAAAAACAGGAGCAAAAAATATCACAAGTGTATAAAAGTCATTTCATATGACTTTTGATTAGAAGTAGTTAAAAAATTCAGATCCCATCAAATTTGTTCAAACAACTTTTTTTAGAACAAATTTATAAAATTGTTTTACTATTTTTTTTTTTTTTTTTTTCATTATATATATATTCATTATACAGGGCAATAAAAGTCATTCATATGACCATTAACAGTCGGTTGAGGGAATGGTCCTATTTGCAAAATTCACTTGGGGTATCTAAAGATTTGAGATGGATTTTCTGCAATTTGTCTAACAAAAAATTACTATGCCCAGTAGCAATATACGTATGGATGACATAGCTGATTACACCAAGTAAGAGAATATATATTTGTGAGCAGTTCAGTCAGTTGATGCAAATTATGACTAAGATTATTTAGGACTATATCCATTAATGCAGCTCCTTCCTTATTTGTTGGGCCAAATATTTTTTTGTCACCTAAATGCATCTCTATTTTAGTTTTCATTCATTGTTCTTGTAAAATAAAATTCAATGATGTGGAATAATGTGTAAAATTTATGCCGGTGTCTTACATGTGGTAACTTAAGGTGAGGGCCAATATATAAAGAAGATGCGTGCAGTGTAGAAAACCAATGTATATTATATATATGTTTTAGGAATTAATATTTAATTAGATATGCTCTCATGAGGCAATTCAATTGTTGGCTTTCTTATGTATAACAGAGTTCCATATTCTGAAAGGATTAATTTTATGTCTCCTAATTGTTCTACTTCTTCCTGAAGCAATGGGTACGCAGAGTACTACAATTCATAAAGTTACTGCATTCTTTCCCAATATTTTTTTACTATTTAAATTTTTTTTTTTTTTCCTGATATTTCTACTTGGATAAGAATTGCAGTTACTAGGACAAACATTTCTTTACTCATTTTTATTGACAAGTCATTGCTTCAATTCAGGAACTCCAGTTATATACCATGAAACTAACTAATGTTGGGGTGATAGGAGTTTGTATATAGGAGTTGACGCTAAATCTTTCCTTATAAGAATTCATATACTTACACCTTGAACAGTGGATCAAACTTGTTTGATCTTCCCACTTTGTTTTTTTTTTTTTTTTTTTTTTGGTCTCAAAGTCTAGACCTAGACTTTATTCTATAAGTTCCAAAAACTCATCAATTACTATAACAAATAATTTTTGCTACACGGATAGCTTATGATGTTATTTTATAACTAGTTTGCACACAAACCACAGCTCCCAAATTAATAGGAAGATTTAGGGTAAACTCTTAATTTGTTAGTAACAAAACAAAAATTTGAAATAAAAAGCAAAAAAATTGACTTACAATTAATATTAAATGTTGCTAAAGCACTAGGTATGAAACCAGAGTACTACTACAATTCTATTCATGTGGTAACTACTTAATTTCCCAATAGTTATTATAATTATTTTTTTAATTTTTCTACTTGGATAAGAATTGTTGCAGGTGTTGAGGAAGAAATGAATATGGAGATCACAAACATGGGAAGTTGCTGCGAAGTTTAAATTCCACAAATAGAACCCTGATTTTACAGCAAGCAAAAGTAGTTACCTAAAACATAAACATCTATTTCGTTTTCTCACAGTTTCTCTATCTAGGTGAATGAATGGATCTCACACCAAAAAAAAACAGAAATATATAATATAGGGCTAAAATCTGAAAACCCCTTATTGTTTATCGAAACTATCTACTAACCCCCTCGAGTATTAAAAAATCCCCTTTTATCACGGAATGCCTGCAAAATGACAAAAATGTCCTTGATAATATATTTATATTTATTTAAACATAATTATAGTAATTATATATAATTACAGTAATTATATATTATAGTAATTATATATATTTATAGTAATTATAATTATATATACACACATATATAGGAATTATATATACACATATATTCACACACATATATATAAAACATATCCTCCATTATCTGCAAACGAAAAAGCTAGCCAATTGACAATAAATAGCAACATCAACGGCAGGACAGAGGATAATTGCCCAAGGGTTTCTTGGACGGAATAGGCAGTTTCTCGGGGTTGCAGCACATTACAGTGATCGTCAATGTATTTTTCTTTTCATCGTATTCCTGGTTCCGGATTTCTCTCGTCCCAAACATCATTTAACATCACAAAAAAATTAAACTCAGTTCTTCAAATCAAGAAATTAAGGAATATACAAGAATTAAGAAAATTTAGAAATGTAGTAACATATTTTATGTGTGCGTACTTATAATACAAATATGTGTGTAATGTGTGTTTTTATAGAAATATGTAACCGATCAGTTAGGGCCTCACCAGGAACTTTACAGAGTATTTTTTTTGTCTTCCTGTAATAGTCACGGCATTGGAGATCGGCGACATTTAGTATCATTGTTGTAACCTATTACATGACCGACAATGAACATTTAATTAATTAATTCACAAATTTATTCTAGTAAAATAAAGCGAATTATCAAATGGGTATATAGAAATAAAGGGAGAACAAGATTCACAAACATTTTCAGCCATGGTTGTGACTTTTGAGTACTCGAAAAATGATCGGATAAAGCATGCAGGTCACGGTACTACCTGGTTTGGTCATCGTCACCGTTGTGGTTTCATGCAGAAAGAACCTTAAGGCTTACGGGATAGAACTGGGTTTCGTCGGGGTGGGTCGAGGTTGCTTGAGACGTCACCGGACTGAACTAGGTCGGCTTGAGACGTCGCCGGAATAAAGCAATCTGTTGGGTCTTTGTTTCATCTGGAAACGGAGTGCATCGGACTGAAGCAGTCTCTGAAGTTTGGTTGAGGTTGTTTGTTTGGACTGGCCGCCGCTGAAACACGCCGAAAAACATGGAGTGTAGGGGCAGTTTAGTCATTAAGTGGTTAAAAGGGTAGTATGGTCATATTTAAATGAAATATTATGCATGTGACAATCATGTGAGCTGATCTGTTAGTTTTAGACCGAAAAATTAACCGGATGGAGGGTCATTATAATAGACCTTTTAAAACATTGAGGGGTTTTATGATAATTTCGTACTTAAGGAGGTAAGTAGATAATTTTTGTAAACAATAGAGGGGTTTTCAGATTTTAAACCTATAATATATAAATCTATATAATTTTATTTATTTATTAACTTTGAAAAAATAAAAAAAATAAACTCACACACTCTCTTGTTTTTATTGAGACTTAAAACTCTCCAACCTTTCAAATATGACTAGACTACAGTCTTAATTTGGGCGTTAGATAAGTTGGAATCAAACAATTCTAACTTATTTTTACGAAAACTGTATTAAAAAGTCATTGCTTCGATCTATTAAAAAACAAACGCTTATGCTATATGATGCAGTCTTTCCTGGAGAAATATTGAAACTAATGTCAGGGTGAGTGGCCACTTTTGCGAGGTGATTGTCAGGCTATATATATATATATATATATATATATATATAGATGGATGGAAAACAGGGATTTGCATCATCTGTTTAGTATCCACAACAAACAGATGTACCTAATTTAAATACTGAATTAATTGAGATGCATGTTTTTTTTTACTGTGGTGAAACTTGTTTTGAGGGATTTCCAGTTAATAAGTTAAGATTTCTTCTTCTTCTTTGCTTTTATTTTTCGCTTTAGGTAAGGTAAAATCATATTATAAACAGCCCAAAGGTATAAAAAAATCTCTGGTTTCTTTGTTTCCATAAAATATAAACTGAAGCTGCAATAGTGAGGAGGCTCATAGGCTCATAGCAATGCATTTCAAACTTATTTTCCTTAATTATTAAACCACAAAAAGTTTATCTGAGGGCCACTGATTACACACCTCGCTCACTCGCTGCCACAAAGGCTCCACATTCTGTTGATATAAAGCTAACACTCGAATATAAGATGGGAATTGTGAGATATAATATTGTAATTGGCAATTTTGGTATTAAAACAAGTCCGGTCAAATTGTATTTTTTGTTTGAATTTTGAGTCTCGAGTTCAGAAGCGAAATTGAAGAGTTTGATTGTGACGATATACTACGGTTGGATGAGAACAACATAGTAGACAAGTTAAGTGTATAAGGACACTTTGTTTTTATCATTGGTGAGTTTTTAGGCATAGGCACTTAAAAAAAATTTCAAAAACCGTTTGTACAAAAAGTGCACTGCCCTTGCGGAACCAATTGCCTTTTAAAATTTTTAAAATTTGTTTTTAAAGTATAACTCATTGCCTTTGCGGAATCGGTTGCATTTTCCTGGAATCAAGTTGGAAATTGTTCTCCAACTTCAATTATGTGAGGCCAGGTTTCCATTTTTCATTTTTTTTGGACATTTTTTTTTTTTTTTTTTTTTTAAAAAAAAAAAAAATGTATTACATTGATGTGTATGAAAAATATGACGTATGGGTTCGAGGGTCGTATAGATATTTTTTTTGAGTTCCGAACTCTTAAAGTTGCATTTAGGAACATTTTGTGCATTTTAAATTTTTGGGCTCGGGAGGTTTGCGCTATGGTTTCCAAAACAGGTTGATGGATATGCACATAATACACATACAATTTAGTACGAGAAGTGAATTAAGCTTGAAATTTGAGCA